CCATGTCTTTGCTATTGTGAGTAGTTCTGTGATGGATATATGAGTGTATGTGTCTTTTTGGGAGAATGAGTTATATTCTTTTGGGTATATACTCAGTAATAGGACTGCTGGGTCAAATGGTAGTTGTATTTTTAGTTCTTTGAGAAATCTAATGGACTCATATTCAACATTTTTGGGACATAACATCTTGTAATGGCTATTAGTTCAATGTATGCATGTCATCTGGAAGTATACAACAACCTTCTGCAGGGTGTTATCCCAGTTTCATTGCCATATTTATAGTCTCAGAGGCCACTCCAGCATTCTTTAAGGCCTGTAACTTTTGAGTAATGTGATATATAATAGGGGAAATGCATCTCTATCACAGGCTCAACAATGGTCTCTCAGCAATGGACAGAGATCAATAAAGTCAGATATTCAATAGCTGGATTAATATGAGACACAAAGATCTGTTTCCTTTGAACTCACTACCAGATATCCATCTATAAATACATCCTCCAGAAATTCTTGAATTTTGTCGTCTACCCTTGTACCTTCCAAGACTGTAATTATTTTTCCAAGTCATTTTTCACTGCCCCAAAGTCCTTACATACCATTGCATTAGCAAGTTTTTCATCCACTCAAAGTGAATGCTCAAGTATATGGCTCAAGACTAGCTGATGAAAATATTCCCATTTACTGCTATTTTTCAGTGCTACCTGTAATTTAGATTGTAATGTATCCAAATTCTATTTTTTGTTCAAACCAACCTATCTAGCGAATCTGTTCTTCACTGAGATCTAAGATTCTTCCTCTGCATCAACTAGTCATAAGAATTAGTCTTGAACCTAAACATTTTAGGTTCTTTTGAGGGAAACCTGGGTTAATATTTATTTTAAACACTTGTCGTGGCATTGAAGAGCTCTTTATCAAAAGATCTGAACTCCTTTTCAATCAAAGAGCTCTAGGTCTGAGGTCTAGAAACTGTTTGAGACAATATGAATTACCATTGCAGCAGCTGACATCAGTATGCTGACTCCTGACTTTTTGGTTTTACAAACCAAGTGATGTCCTCATGAGTTGCCTACTGTGGGCTTCCACTGTGTCCTAGGAACACCATGGGTTATCAATCATTTTTCTAGATCCTTGCAGATAAGTAAAACCATTTTTGCTGGTCTTTCAGAATGGCATCCTCTCACTACCTCTAGTAGGCCCATTTCTACAGCACTACTGGTGTCTATAGTTGTGTAAGTGGTCCAAAGGTAGACTTAAAATTATTTTAAAATTTTTCATATTGTACTTTGTCCCCTTCCTCAACATACATGAACTTTTAGAAGGAAGACAAGTGTCCAAAATGGTTGTTTGTCATCTGGCCATAGATCATATACCTGAGAGCCTTCTTGATGTCCTTCATAACCCCAGTTGCTGTAGCACAACCACCAATTTCAGTACAGAGATGTCCTCAACTACAGTTTTGGAGCAAAATGAAGTCAATGTATATACTAAAAGACATATGACATTGGAATTTTCTAAAATTTCTCAATATATTGCTTGAAAACTGAAATAGAAGCCCCCTACAACAACATTTTAATAGCCTTGAATATTTTAAATTTTAAACAATGACTGCAACATCTACTGAATTTTTATAAGTTCAAAAATTGAACATCAAGTTCAATTTAGTTATTTTTCCCAATATAATCAGTTATGAACTGAGCATTTTGTGGTCTCTATCTCATCCTTGGAGAACATACAAAATTATTTCATTATTAAATTGAAATAATATATCTATGACAGGTTAAAAGATCTTCATAAAAGGAAGTGAGAACCTTGATTTGACAATCTTCTGCCCAGCAAAGAGATTCCCATTGCTGTTTTTGAATCACACCATACATACACTGGAAAACTGATTGTGGTGTTAGTTGATCTCAAACTCTAGAGAGATATGTGATTTCTAGCATGGTCCTCTCATTATATAATCTTATAATTATGGCTGAGAATCAGCAGAAAGTAAGGATACCTTATCTGCTGTCACAAATGTTGACAAACAGAATAAATTATAGGATATATGTTATATGTTGGGAGTGGGGAAAACAAGCAAACAACAGTAATTGCATAATAGAAAGAAATAATTTTCTACATACTAATATGCAGACAAAGTTATAGTAGATTTAGTCCTTAAAATAGCCTAATAAAATACGACAAAAACAAAGTGATGGTAGAGTTCTGAAGAACATGAAAATACCTGGGTTGGTAAACTGGGGACCATGAGGCAGAAGGTATTTCCTCTGACACAAGTTAGCTATGAATTATGTTTCTAAAAATCAAACAGGCAAACATCTCTGGTCAATAACAATAAAAGCTCATTTCTCACTTATACTACATCCTCACCTTTAGTTCTGTGAGCATAAGAGGAACCGAATCGTCACAGTTGTCCTCTCTTGGGGGCCCATGCCAACATCATCTCTATCTAGAGTGCTGTAGTCTTTAAGGGCATACAGAGAGAGAGAGAATCCACAACTTCTTCCAGGAATTGATTATTACATTTTATTGGCCAAATACAGTAATATGATCAAACCTGGTTCCAGTAGAGAAAAGGAAATAAAAACCTTATTTGGACAAAAGAAGTAGGTGTTTATGAACAGCATACAATCTACTACAGTGGACATTGGAACACATTTCATTGTTGCCATCAGGCCCAGAATGACAGGCTCCCCTGAGTATAAGAGTTGTGTTACTTGCTGTGGAGAATTACTGCAAACATCAGTTGGTCAAACCACACTTCTAGGAATATATGTTTTTCATATTTTTTTGCACATCAGCGGGACAATGACGTGAAAGTGAGTAAATGAACCGTATGGAACCTCTCTCTTTGAGCTCAGGATTTGTTGCATCCTGAGAGGAATGGATAACCTTACAAATCTGAGTCAACATGTCTTTTAATACGAGGTAAAGGAGAAGCAACAATAGTCCTCTTAGTATGTTGCATCATATCCAAAGATATCATTTTTTTATCTGCAACTTCACTTTTGTATCTACAGGGAAGGACTGGAAAAGTAAATGCAGAAAATGCATATTAGATAATCTATCTAAAAATTAGAAAATATTATTGAAGATAAACAATAGGAGAATCATGAAAATGGTAATATATAAACAAATTTCCCCCACAATCAACTTCATGAACTTGGAATTTTGAGCTGAAAGAGAGTCAGAGGATAATCGTATTAGTAATATATCAAAATCATTCAAAGTACATTTTTTTTTCCAGCCTCTACTTTCCTTAATCATAGGCAGACTACGGAAAAAGTGAGGTCCTCTTCTTTATAAAAGTAATTGTTTGGCTGGGGGCATGGCTCATTCCTGTAATCCCAGCACTTTGGGAGGCCAAGACGGATGGATCATGAGGTCAGGAGTTCGAGATCATCCTGACCAACATGGTGAAACCCTGTATCTACTAAAATACAAAACATTCTAAAAAAATTTTTTTATGGTGGCCCATGCCTGTAATCCCAGCTACTCAGGAGACTGAGGCAGAAGAATCTCTTGAACCTAGGAGGTAGAGGTTACAGTGAGCTGAGATCGCACCACTGCACCCCAGCCTGGGTGACAGAGCAAGACTGTCTCAAAAAAAAAAAAAAAAAAATTTTTTTTTTCAACAGTTTTTCTCTTTTATACTTACTTACCCATAAGAGGGCATTAAGTTCCCAGTACATTCAAGAGTTGCCAACCATTTCACCAATAGCTAAACCTGACATTATGTCCATCAGTAACAGGGTAAGGGGATAAAGCATTATTAAAACAAATGTCATAGGGCTTAAGTTATTGTGAAGCAAGCCCCTGGGGTGCCAAATCCTCCAGTAACTTCTTAGGACAAGAATCCTCATTCTTGTGTGCTTAAGATATGGATGTGACAATTTATTTATGGAAAACATCCCAAATGACTTTTTATTGACACTGAAAACAGAAAATTACAAATTGCTGGACAGCTAAAATTGGCAGAATCCAATAAAATTGCTAGATGTGGAAATCACTGGCAAAATGACAAGTAGAGTCCATTTGATATGACTGGTGAGTTGATAATTATTTTTAAATGAACAGACAAATGAGGTTTTCTATTCAATAGCTGAAGTAAAAGTAGTTATGTTTTAGGTAAGAATGCTATTGTTTGTAAACCCTCCAGCAGCTGACCTGATTTGATTTCTGGGTGAAAGATCTATATAATGAAGTGGTCAAAGCAAAAGTCGACCCAGAGTTGTATGAGTTATAATTTAAACTATCACAGAAGGATAAGAAAATTTGGGGTTCTCTTCAGGATCAATGTTTAGGCATCTTATTGCACCCAGAATGTCCTTGCACAATATAAATACCAGCCCTCTCATGGAATGATGGCTGGATTTTGAGCTACAAAAACAGGCAAGATCATAGGCTGGACAATAAACCTGAAATATATTTATTAAAAAACAGTTATTATTTGGTGTAAATTGCTCTTTATTTTTATAATCCATTTTTCAGTCCAAGGAAATATACAATTAGAGTCATGGACTTCATCAAAAACATGGCAGTATTGCTTACAAAGGTCATTCCTTAATGACATGAAAAAGCATCAGGGACCTGGCAAGATGGCCGAATAGGAACAGCTCTTGGGACATGTAAGGAGTCAGGAAACTCTCTCTCCCCTAGCCAAGGACAGCTGTGAAGGGCTGTGCCATGAGCAATGGTGCACCCCAGCCCTGATACTATGCTTTTCCCACTGTCTGTGCAACCCACAGACCAGGAGCTTCCCTTGGGTGCCTATGCCACCAGGTCCCTGGGTTTCAAGCAACTGGGCAGCCATTTGGGCAGACATCAAGCCAGCTGTAGTTTTCTTTCATACCCCAGTGGCACCTGGAATGCCAGCAAGACCGAACCGCTCACTCCCCTATAAAGGGAGCTGAAGCCAGGGAGCTGAGTGGTTTCCTTCAGCTGATCCCACCCCCAGGGAGCCCAGCAAGCTAAGATCCACTGGTTTGAAATTCTCACTGCCTCCAACATGGATACCCTGGGAGGTCACTCTCCCCAGGCTCTGTTCAAGTGGTGCAAGGGAGCATAGGGCTCTGCCCTGTGATGTGCAGTCTCTTTCCACAATGTTGGAGATGAAGCTGGGCCTCGTGTCTGCACCTGCATATTCCTACAGCTTCCCAGAGTCCTGTGGACAATGACTGGGGAGGGAAACCATGCAGGAGACATGCCTAGGGTAAAATAAAAAGAAAAAAAAAAAAAAAAAGGAAATTCTCACTGCCAGCACAATAGTCTAAAGTTGACCTGGGATGCTCAAGCTTGCTGGGGCTGATGGGCCATTACTGAGGTTTGAGAAAGTCGTTTTTCCCTCACAATGTAAACAAAGCCACCAGGTAGTTCCAACTGGGTAGAGCCCTCTGCAGCTCAGCAAAGCCCGGTACTCAGACTGACTCTCTACATTCTTCCTCTCTGAGCAGGGCATCTCTGAAAAAAAGGTATCAGCCGTAGTCAGGGGCTTATAGATAAAACTGCCATCTCCCTGAGACAGAGCACCTGCGGTAAGGGGTGGCAGCTGTCACAGCTTCAGCAGACTTAAATGTCCCTGTCTGCTGGCTCTGTGCAGCGGATCTCCCAGCACAGCACTCAAGCTCTGCTAAGGGTCAGACTGCCTCCTCGAGTGTGTCCATGACCCCCGTGTCCCCTGACTGGGAGACAACTACCAGCAGGGGCCGACAGACACCTCATACAGGAGAGCTCTGGCTGGACTCTGGTGGGTGCCCTTCTGGGACAAAGTTTCCATAGGAACAAGCAGCAATCTTTGCTGTTCTGCAGTTTCTGCTGGTGACACCCAGGCAAAAAGGGTCTGGAGTGGACCCCCATAAAACTCCAGCAGACCTGCAGCAGAGGGGCCTGACTGTTAGAGAACTAACAAACAGGAATAGCATAAATATCAACACAAAGGATGTCTAATCAAAAACCTTATTCAAAGGTCACCAACATCAAAGACCAAAGGTAGATAAATCCACAAAGATAAAGAGAAACCAGCACAAAAAGGCTGAAAATTCCCAAAACCACAACATCTCTTCTATAAAGGATCACAACTCCTCACCGGCAAGGGAACAAAACTGTACAGAGAATGAGTTTGACAAATTGACAGAAGCAGTCTTTAGAAGGTAGATAAAAACAAACTCCTCCAAGCTAAAGAAGCATCTTCTAACCCAATGCAAGGAAGCTAGGAACCTTGAAAAAAACTTAGAGGAATTGCTAACTAGAATAACCAGTTTAGAGAAGAACATAAATGACCTGATGGAGTTGAAAATACAGCACGAGAACATTGTGAAGCATACACAAATATTAACAGGTGAATCAATCAAGTGGAAGAAAGAATATGAGAGACCGAAGATCAATTAATGAAATAAAGCATGAAGACAAGATTAAACTAAAAAGAATGAAATTGAAGGAACAAAGCCTCCAAGAAATATCAGACTATGTGAAAAGACCAAATCTACACTTGACTGGTGTACCTGAAAGTGACAAGGAGAATAAAATCAAGTTGGAAAACACTCTTCAGGATTTTATCCAGGGATCTTTCCCAACCTAGCAAGACAGGCCAACACTAAATTACCATTTGTTCCAGCAATCCCGTTACTGGGCATATGCCCAAATGATTAGAAATCATTCTACTAACATATGCACACATATATTTATTGCAACACTGATCACAATAGCAAAGACTAGGAACCAGCCCAAATACCCATCAATGAGAGACTGAATAAAGAAAATGTGGCAAATATACACTGTGGAATACTATGCAGACATAAAAATGATGAGTTCATGGCCTTTGCAGGGACATGAATGAAACTGGAAACCATTGATCTCAGCAAACTAACACAAGAACAGAAAACCAAACACCACATGTTCTCACTCATACTTGGGAGTTGAACAATGAGAACACATGGACAAAGGGAGGGGAACGTCACACATTGGGGTTTGTGGTGGAGTGGGGGTCTAGGTGAGGGCTAGCATTAAGAGAAATACCTAATGTAGATGACTGGTTGATGGGTGCAGCAAACCACCATGGCACAGGTATTCCTTCTGCACATGCACCCCAGAACTTAACATATAATAATAAAAAGGAAAGAAAAAACATCACACCTCCCCACTTCAGTACTCAGTATGAATCCTCAAGAAAATGGGTATTTTAGCTTGCAACAATGCTAAATATATTTTAAAACATTTATGCGAATGTTATGTGACATACATTTCACTTTTCCCTAGATACTATATTATTCTGTACATCATTAATCTTCCATACCTCCAAATCATTCACTAATCACACTATAAAGAAGTTGGTGGAGAGGAGCTGATATGTCATAAACTACTATTCAATAACTATTTCTGGAGCTATTTGTTTATATATGTTCCAGATGTTCTTCTTGGAGGTCGATATACTTAGTGAGAAAAATAGATAAGCATTCCTTTCCTTGTGGTGATAGAGAAATACTTGTGCTTACGTATGCTGTTCTATAGGCAAATATGAAATATATGCATACAAGGACATTTGAATGTATTTGTATATGAAGAAACTCAATATACAAATATTAGTAAAATGTTATAATCATGCGATACAGTTTAGACTGAAAAAAAGAGAGAAAACAAATATTTTATTTTTGATGAAAGAACATTGAACTAAATAAAAATCTCTTTTCACATTATAATTAAACTGACAAGTCAGTCATAGATGTGCTCTTCACAGAAAGATGCAAAATATTACTGTAGGGAATACAATTCTAATTTATATTTAATCATTCTTATCCACTTTGTTTATTTGTATTAAGGAGTATTCTGCCATTTTACATTTTCTGTGTTATGTACGAAATATTAGCCAAGCAATGGAATTCAGACAGACATTGTGTTTTTAATTTAATTAATAGTGATGAGATCAGAAATAATAACAATAAAAATACACTATATTAGACGGAACTGCCTTCAGCGAAAACACTTTTTTTTTCTTTAAATAGATAATTAACAGACCATCTTTAATAGATAAAAGATACGTAGAGATAGAGAATTCCATGGAGAAAATCCTCATCATTGTTTCTATTCCCTGTACTTGTTTTATGACTTAAAAATACCCAAAATATCAGATAATTCTCATATATATTTTAAAGCAGTTTCCTGAAGAATGTATAAGGTAAATGCTCTCTCCAATACTCCCCCTTATAAAACCTTAAATGGATTCTGCTTGAATGGATTTGATTTTTTTTTCTTCTTTTAGGGGATGGGAGAGGTGGACGTATATGCAAGACAACTTAGAATAATTTGAACCAAGATATAGAACCTATTTATAGATGGGATTAAAGAAGAACCCTAGCAAAGAGCTAGGGATCACTTATATCAACAGTGCCAAATTGAATGTGTGGTTTTGCAGAAAAGAACTTGACTAGGAAATTTAATACAATGAAGTACAGAACAACATTGCTGTAGATAAGAAAAACTTTTCAGAGCAATATCACAGAACAGATTAGCATTACTGAAACATGAAGCAATGTATATTTTTAAGTAATATAAGATATGCTAAACAAAATTGTTTAAAAATCAGAATTAGAAATTCTGAAATGAAGTCATTTAAGTAAAAAGAAAACATTATTTCAGAAATGAAGACCAAATGAAAAGCAAAATAGGTTAAATAGGCATATGTGTGTCTTAAGACAAGCAGAAGGTAAAAAGAAAAAAGAAATCCCGAAGAAATGAGGACAAAGATTGATTGGAAAAAAGAAATAATAGATATTAATACCAATATGATTAAAATCAATAGGATAAAATAGATAAGGATAAAAATCTATATCCATAGACTATATTCCAGTTTTAGAGGTACAGCAAAAATGATAAAACACATTTATAATAAGAGTCTCTAAGGTGCAAAACAAAATGAAATCAGTAAAAACAAGTTCTAAAAAGATTTGAAAATTCATTTTGAAATATCTTCTGAGATTATTGCCTCAGAAAAATTAACACCAAGATAAATTTAGTATAATTATTAGATTTTAAAGGAGAGAGAGAGAGAGAGAGAGAAGAAAGAAACATTATTTAAATATTCAGGAAAATTCAAATTATTTATGAGGGAAAACAAAACTAACAAACAGCAATAAATAATACAAGATCAAATTTTTCAAGAACAATGCATTATGCTGGAATAAATATATTTCAGTTCTCCGAAATGAAAATGTGAACCAAGCATTGTATTAGGCCAAACTGACTTTCAAAGTATGTAAGCTTCAGACCATTTGGGAGCGATGTCTAGTACAGATTAGAGAAACAAGTCCCTCTTTTGGACACTGATGAAAAGCTTATTGTGAGCAGTCAATATAAATTTGTACTTACCACCAAAACTAAATGAGGGCTATAAAAAGGAACTGTCGTGTAAGGGCAAGGCTCTGATAAGTAGATAATACAACTACTTAAAACAGGGTAAAATGGAAAGCCTGTATAAAAAATGCTTTTTTTTCTTTGGTAGTCAGCATGGTAGTAGTAAATATAATTGAATAAGACCAGTGTAAATATAAATGTAGGATTAGGTCAATGAATAATTATGTGAAATTTTAATTCTATTATCCATGTGTCCTTGAAAATGAGACTCTTTGGTGTACACAAAGAGATGTAGAAGTATCTGGTGCAGAAGATGCAAGTCAGAGTCTCTTGTCAGACCACATATCAAGAAAACCATCCAAAATTACTGTTGTATCAATAGGTATCTGAGGCCAATGTGAAGAGGGATGCTAAAAGTTTGGGAACATATCTCTATATTCTAACTCTAGCTTCAGCTTCAGCAGTCAAAAAGTGAAATGTTGGAAAATTAAGTTAGGGTAGCCAGCCTGCAAGGTCTATCACAGATGGTCAGGAAAGACAGAAAACACAAAGATAAAGAATCACACTTTAGAAAAATATTATATTTTTTAATTTTATAATACAATTTAGGGAAGCTAACAGATTTCTTCTCTTTATTATATTCTTCTTGTATGACCAAGAGTGATATAAAAAATATTTAACCATCAATAGATCAGAGAATCAAAACCACCAGGTAGGAAAACAACAGTAATTGTCAGGCAGTACCACACAAAGGCTGCCTGGCTCAGTGTCACACAGAGCTAAAACCTTAGAAGACAAAAGGCTTGAGAAATTGATTCACTTATATCAAGTAATACATCATAAAATTTTGTGAACCATGTAT